AGAGGTGAGCAAAAAAAAAAAAAAAAGTGACGGCTATATATCGCCGTTTGCTAATGGAGACAGGCTTTCCCACGCGGCAGCTCACCTGGTCGGCCGTTGGGCTGTTTCGCTTTTCGGCACTCACCTTCAACGGGCACAAGATCCACTACGACGCGGAATGGAGTCGCGGCGTCGAGGGACACGCCGGCGTCGTGGTCCACGGGCCGCTGAATCTGATCAATATCCTCGATTACTGGGGCGATGTTCACGGCGCGGGCGCGTCGCCGGCGAGCGTTGCGTACCGGGCCATGTCTCCCCTCTACGCGGGGGACACATATACCATTCAGACGGGGGATGTGAGAGATGACGTGTACGATGTGGTTGCCGACAAGGACGGGACGGTGTGTATGAAGGCCCAGATTGTGGCAACATCACATGGTCGATAGCATGTTTGAGCTCTCAAGTCATAATATTAAGCTTCGTGTGCAAACTGTGGTGGTGTCTCTATCAAACCAAAGAGAAGAAAAAAAAGACACATGCTGATCCATCCAGTTCCGAACCATTCCATCCATTTTTTATACAAGTAACATTATTAATCCAAACGCGGCTCATCACTCCGTCTTGGGCACCGCAGACGTGCTAGTGACTACGGAGAACTGGCCGCCCGCAGCAGCACCCACGAGCTTTCTGCCCTTAATGTCCTTGCCCCGAATGCGCTGGGCGGTATTTGCGTCATCCTCGTTGCCTAGGCCGAGCTGGCCGACGGATCCAAAACCGGTGGCATAGCCTACGCCCTCGTCGTTGATGAAAATGGTGTGATCGGTCCCGCAGGCGACGTCGACGACATTGCCTATCTCGGGGACAACAGTAGGTCGCAGGCAAATGCGGGGTTTGTTGTACTCGTCGCGGCGGACGAGATGCTCGTCGTCGAGCTGGCTCTGTGAGAAGTCAATGCCCAGCTGACCGCCATCAAGACGCCCCCACATGTAGACCTTGCCATCCTCAGTGACAGCTCCAGAGTGATGGGTGCCGCCGGCCATGGATACAACGCCCTTGCCGCAGAGGTCGCGAATCTTCATGGGGTACGGCAGGATGGCTTCGTCGCCGCCAGCTTCCTTGGCGTACCCGGCCTCGCCGAAACTGTTCAGACCCCATGCCCAAACGTTGTCCTTGCGATCGACAGCGAAGGAGTGGTACTCGCCAGAGGCAATGTACTTGATGGGTCGGGTGCACACTCGAACCTGGCGAGGCAGCAGAGTCTCCTGCTGGTATCGACCAAACGGCTGTCGGCCAAGCTGGTTCTGCTCGTATGATCCCCATCCCCAAACCTGGCCCGACTTGTCGAGAGCCAGGGCATGATTGGCACCGCAAGCAATCTGTATGACATTTTCAAGCTCGGGAATCAGAATGGGGTCCTTCTGAATCTCGACAACCTTGCCGTTCTGGGACTTTGTGAATCGTCTGTCTCCTTTGTTATCCTAACGAGGGTTGTCAATAAACTATGCGATTAGATGCGATTCAGAAGAGTACCGTGTCACCTACTCGGAATGACCCCCATCCGTAGACGGTTCCAGTCTGGGTCAGCACGAAGCTGCAGCTATCGCCGGCGGCAACCTGGGTGAAGACTGTGCCCTTGGGGAAATTCTTGGCAGGAACCTCAGTTGGGGTACACTCGTATGGATTCAACTCGCCGTCTTCGTCGCCGCTGTCGGATTCGGCGTCCATGTCCTTGAGGCCACCCTCCCAAGCAGTGTCTCTTCCCAGAGCTCCCTCATCGTTGACGCCCCAAGTCAGAATCTTGTTATCAGCGGTGAGAGCAATGGTGTGCATGCCGCCGCAAGCAAGCTGAACAATGTGGTATTTGGAAGCATCATTGGGGTCGAGGGCCGGGTTGAACTTGGGAACGAGTGCAGCTGTGCGCTTGGGGCCGAGACCAAGCTCGCCGCACTCGCCGCTGCCAAATGCAAAGACAGCAATGGGCTCAGTAGGTGCTTGATTGAGAGCGGCCGGCTCTTCGATGACGGGTTTCTCCTTCTTTACAGGCTTCTTGGCCACAGGCTTGACCTTTTTTCGTTCTCTGGGAGCTTCGGTCTTTGTGGTTTTTGAGCGACGCGCAGCATCGTCCTCATCTTCTTCGGTGACGCGCTTTCGCTTGGTGGTCTTTGCATCTGGTTCATGGTGTGACTTTCCATTAACCACTTTTCGACGAAATGTTAGAACCTGAGTCGTGGGGTGGTTGACTGATACGCCGGGGCGCGTCGAGATGGGCTCGAGGACTGACCTGGTTTGCTGGTGCTCTGCTTTGCGACAGCGGCCCGTTTGGCAGGCTTTGCTGGTTCTTTTTTTGTGACGGCAGCCTCAGCAGGCTTTGCCTTTCGAGCAGTGCCGGTGAGCTTTTTTGAAGCCATAACGACGGCTTTTACGGGTTGTTTTGAGAAAAACGTATGGTGTTTCGACGCTGGTCGCGTTGCTAGTAAACCAACCTAGTGAGCTCGAAGCTGGAAAAAATTCAGCTTAGTCAGCAGGCATCCAAGCTCCAGGGCTCAGGCACAAACGGCACAAACACGGACGAATTGAGTTGGATTGGCCCACTATGATTGGTGGACTGCTGGTCAGGCTCGGTGTTGCCTGATCCCGGGCATGACTGACCCACAACTGAAGATTCCGACGATTCAACATCAGCGGCCCAATTTTTGTTTGTTGTTCATCGGGCCATCGCTCTTGTGGCCCCATTCAAACGATATCGTACTTCCCAGATTTACTTGTTTGATGCCAGAGCCTGGGTACACAAAGCACTGCAAAGAGCTAAAAAGCTGGTCTTCCGTTGCGTTTTGACAAAGGTCTACTTTGGTCTTTTGTGCTCGCTTGCAGTCGCCACAGTCGGGAGCTGCGGGTAGGACAGCCTGTGATGGCGCCATATTGTCTTACAGGGGGGCAATTTAATTACTACTTAGAGTAAGGAAAAAAAAAATATAGAAGAATAGTAAGGATGACAGAAGACCTATGAGCCCTAGATTCCCGGTCCAGATACATGACGTGATGCGTCTCGGAGCGTAATGTGCCTCATCACCGTGTTTCCATGCCATGGATGAGACAACAACCTGAAGTCCCAGGCTGTACAAGCCCTTTTGCCTGGGCCTTTACTACACAAGCCGCCATACAGTCTTGAGATATATCCGTTCTTAGCAGAATCAACCATTTTGACGTCAACGTCCGTTTGTGGTCGCTTCAACCCATTCTCCCCACATATTCATCACATCACTCACACTCCTGAAAGGGGGACGTAAGAGGGGTGGTTCTCACCAAGTAGTTATCTTACAGTCGGCAAAAAAAGAAAAGAAAAAACTTGCGCAAATTAAACGCCACAGATGCTTATTCTCCATGCGCATTAAAAGTAGCCGCAGTTCAGCATCACCGGCAATATAACAAGATTCACAGCAGCCTCGGCACCCGGTTATAAGCATCGCCAACTCCAGACCAAAATGGGTCATGATGCTCCACCCAAGTAGCCGATCTCCGCAAAGCTGTGTACAATGCCACTTTGAGCTTTGAGCAACCTCATGATCTCATGTCACACAACCATTTCGTGCATCTTGATCGACCAGAAATGGAGTGCATACTAGCGAAGCTATAATTTACAACTAGATAATATTCTCACATCGCTCATTTTCTCTCCGCGTCCCCTTTGGAATGCTTCTGTCTCGAGGCCCGGTTGGTCAGGGACGACGAAGCATGTCTAGCTCGAGATTCTCGCAGCTACTCTGGAAGGCCGCTCCAAGAGCAAGTCGTGTCGCTCATTTTGAGTTTGTATTCCTACTGACTCTGCCTAGCTCACTTGCAAGGAGCAGGTTCGGCAGATAAGCTTGCACGAGTATCAGTCGCAAAATATTCTGAGACAGGTGTGAAGTTCAACTTCGTAGCCTCTTACGAGCCCAAACTGACGCGTGTAGTATGGCGTTCCTGTTCCTCGCGGCCGGACCGTGAAAACGGCCAGTGAGGCCCGCATTGCAGCACAAGAGCTGGGTAACTGCACTTCCAGACTACGGATGCTCACTCCAAAGTGCTGACATCGCAGGCCCTGCGTGCATCATCAAAGCCCAAGTCTTGGGTCGTGGGCGAGCCGCCGGCAAGTTCGTCAATGGCCTCAAAAGCGGCATCCAAGCCATTTCCACCCCCGACCAAGCCGAGCACGTGGCATCCAAAATGCTCAACCAGAGACTTCTCACAAAGGACAATGGCACCGACGGCCATCTCGTCGAGAAGCTGTACGTCGCCGAGGCAGCAACTTGCGATTCTCACTGGTATCTCGCCATGACCATTGATCGGGAAAACTACCAGCCCGCCATCATCGTCTCCAAAGAGGGCGGGGTTGAACTCGATGTTCTCATTAGCGAACAGCCTGACAGCCTGTTTACCTTTGGCTTTGGCATGTCGGAAGGCATCAACAATGCCTTGGTGCAAGACATCCAGCAGCGTCTGGGCACAACGGACCAAGAAATGGCAAAATTGACCCATATTCTAACCCAAATGTACAGCATCTTCCGAGACCGAGAAGCCACACATCTTGAAATTAATCCTCTGGGGCGATCACTCGACGGTTCCTTCACCAGCTTAAACGCCATTTTCACGTTTGACAAGGCCGCCGAACAAAGGCAGGAAGAAGTCTCTGCGCTACGCGACAAGACGCAAGAAGTCCCCGACGAAGTGGAAGCCGAAAAACACGGCCTGGTGTACGTCAGAATGGACGGGGACATTGGCAACGTCGTCAACGGCGCGGGTTTAGCCATGGCCACAAACGACGCCATTGGGTTCCACGGCGGTGCGAGCGCCAACTTTCTCGACGCCGGTGGAAAGGCGACCAAAGAGACCATGATTCAGGCATTCCGAATCATTACGCGCGACGAGAGAGTCAAGGCCATTCTGGTCAACATTTACGGCGGTACGTACGTGAACGGATGGTGGTCAATGGCTAAACTGACCGGTGGGGGGTAGGCATCACGCAATGTGACATGATTGCTGAGTCGATTATTGGCGCAACGAGCGAGTTGGACATCCGAGTGCCCATGGTTGTGCGGCTGCAGGGCACGAATTCCGAAAAGGGATTAAAGATGGTACGTCTCCATGGTGAGGTGAAGATTGAAGTTGGGACGAGCGCTGACGAGGCCGTTAGCTCGAGGATGCAAATCTGGGGCTGGTCGTGGAGTCGGACTTTGGGCAGGCGGCGAAGCGGGCGGTTGAACTTGCAGAGTCGAGATAGAGTAGATTTAGGTGGTGACGCGGCTATATGTTGGGCTCTGGAGGACTTGGGAATCGTGCATAGAGACGGTCAGGGACGAGTTCAATATGGGAAGTTGGAAAAAACCTTGGCAAGCATCGCCGGCCAGGAAGAAGCTTGGCGTGAATTGTAGTTATTTGACAGTCAAGTTGCTTTGTTAAAGCGCCTCCAGGCTCCAGCCAACCAGAATGTTTGACGGTTTGTCGGTCCGGCGGCCACGTCCATTAAGCGCTGCCACCCGTCGCCCCCCTTGGCACATGCACTCTTGCTGCAGGAAATGCGCCACGCTTAGCCCTGTAGCCCCGCTATTACGGGCGACATGGGAGCCCGAGCAGCGCACACGCACATGCAGCCAGTTAGTCGACTTCCTACCAAGCATGGCCACGATTGGAAATTCCATGTCGACTCAATTAGTATATTTATTTGGCTGCTCCTCCGCATCTTCCCTTGCACACTCTAGACTTCCGCGTTGCATTTACCATTGCTGGTTTCTGACTCTCACTCATAAGGCCTCTGTTCTCTCGCATTCATTGTTCCCTTCACAGCATGGCCAGCACCGAAAAAGACCCCGAGACCATCGCCTTTGCCCGGACGCTCTCCAACGTCCCCTGGTGTGAAGACTACGAAAAAATGATATCAGGAGTCCTGTATGGCCAACACCACTCCATCGGCAGTCCTTCACCATATAGAAACCGGCCTCACTAATACCGCCCAGGTACGACGCTCAGGCAAAAGAGCTTGTAGACGGCCGCTTCCGCGCAAGACGCCTCATGCACAAGTACAACAACCACTTCCCCGACGACGCCACCCCAGACTCCCTCCTTGCAGACCGCGAGGCCATGCTGCAGTCAACCTTTGGAAAAGTTGGCAAGGGCGCTTTTATCGAGCCACCCATCAACATCGATTACGGCTGTAACATTACCATTGGGGACAACTTTTACTCCAACTTCAAGTACCTCCCCTCTCTTCGACATCCTGGCTTCGTGGGCTAATTTTCTTGCAACAGTCTCGTCATTTTGGATTGTGGCATCGTCAAGATTGGTAACAGGGTGCAGTTTGGTCCCTTTGTATCTATTTTTGCCGCTACTCATGAGACGGGCGTGCAATCGCGCCGCGACGGGGTAGAGTACGCCAAGAGCGTCACCATTGGCGACGACTGCTGGATAGGCGGGAACACGACCATCATGCCGGGCGTTACTATCGGCAAAGGCTGTACGATTGGCGCCGGGAGCGTCGTGACCAAGTCGATTCCGGATTTTTCGGTGGCAATCGGCACGCCGGCTCGGGTTGTGAAGACGGTTGATCCCGTGCCGGACTTGTGAGGTTGTTAGACAGCCCCAATCGACTACCGAGGTATATATAAACATGACTCATATTTACATGTTCTCAAGCGTCTCATGGTTTTTTCTTTTTTGCCAACTACCTAAGGACACTTTACACTTGCACCGGCGCCATTGCAACCGAAGCTACCCAACCATCTACAAGCTTAACATATTACTCCTCTTATATGCAGTATCGATAAAAGTTTCCAAAATATACAACCCCATGTTTTCATTTCATTTATTCCCTCTTCGTCTCGGCACGCGGAAAGCAAAGCCAGATGCCCAGCATGACGGCCAGCAACGCCAGCACAATCGGCTGCAGAACCATGGGCCCCTTCGCTTGCGCAAGTATACCCGTCAGAAACGGCAACACGGCCGCACCGCAGCCTCCAAAAGCAGCGGCAAATCCAATAACCACGACATGATGCTGGCGTGGCAGCAGCTTCTGAGCCACGAGAACTGCGTTGGGGAACATCGGACCAAGGAAGAAGCCTTGGAAAGCGACTGCCACAACGGATACGTAGAATTGCGGTACGAGCCAAAAGATGAGTTCGAGAAGGCCCGCAGCAACAATGTAGAGCTACCAATATGAGAGCATGTCCATGCAAACCAGGGAGGACGTGTAAGCTTACAGCAGTAGATAGCTTGACGCCAACTCGGGGTGTGACGAACCCCAGAACGGCGCGGCCAGCAGTGATTCCAAGCCAGAAACCAACAGCAGACATGCCGCTGGCAAAAGCCTCGCCGTGGCGAACGCGGAGCATAAAGATGACGATCCATCCACCAAGAGCGACTTCAACGCCCACATAGCACAACAGGAAAGCCGCAGTCAGCCACGTCACACGCGCAGAGGGCGTGCGGAAAAGGGCTTCACTGAGGCCCATCCTGTTCGACTCATTCTTGTGAATGCGGCGGTATTCCGCTCCCGAAGATGACCAAAAAGCAGAGGCCAGGACAGCCATCTCAACGCCAGCCATGCCAATCTACACGACGCATTAGCCCGCCTTATTCCCCCCCCGACGCCACCATCTCCGGGAACATACCATGATGTAGTAGAACGAATACCACCCCAGATTCGCCTTGGCAATAAGCGTCGTGGCAATGGTCGGGCTCACGGCGCCGCCAACGCCGTAACAGGCATGCAGCAGCCCCAGCAGCTCGCTCGAGCTGGCGAGATTGCCAACCCACGCATTCCACGCAGCGTCCGCCACGCCGTTGCCGAACCCGGCGAGGATGAAGGCGAAGACGAGCACAATATACGGCGGGTGCAGCGCGATAATGGTGTACGCGGCCGCGTGGCAGGCGCTGCAGATGACGGCGATGCCGCGCTGGCCGACCTTGTGGTGGAGGTAGTTGTTGAGGATGGCCGAGCAGACGTATCCCACGAAGGGGGACAGGAAGACCAGCGACACCACGATATACGTGAGCTTGTAGTATTTCTCGAGCTGCAAAAACGCGTCAGTTGGGATCCCGGCGCGGGTGAAAGAACACCGAGGATACATACATAGGGAATGAGAGGCTACACGCGGTCAGCAACAGAACGGTTTTTGTGAAAAGTAAAGGAGTCTTACACCGTAGGCCGAGTCGTTAGCCCCCATGACCAGAAAGGAAAAGAAACACGCCGCTATGCGGTACACGTTTGTCCGCGACCCGTTCCAGCGCTCTGTCGCAGCGACGGCGGAGTGCGGACACGGCTCGCTGCCGCCGTTCTCATCCAGTATACATGACGGGCCGGAGGCTGCATCGGGACGGACACGGGGCTGCTTGATGTCTAGTTTCACGGGAGCCGGTTCAACGGGCATGGGCATTTGTTCCAGCTCTATGGCTGAAATTGTTGTTGTTGCGGACATGGCTGTGAGTCTTTACTTCTTTCGCTTATCCTGCGTGATCTCGTGCTGGCGATGAAGGGAATTGATAGAGATGTATTTTAAAGAGACGGAATTGACCAGGTCAGTCGCACCTTTGTTACAGTCATGTGGCAGGTTCACGATCGGAGAGCATGGTTTGTAATGATGTGGATCGGCGGATGACTCAAGCAAGACCTCGGAGGCGTACCGAACTACTTTTTCTTGTCTCAAGTTAGATATCCAATCACCTTTGTGTCGCTCCGTAGAAGAAGATCTACAGACGTTCCAAGGATCAGCATCTCGGACCGTCCGCCCAGCCCTATGTTCCACCGCCACGGCAGGCAGAACAAGGTCGAAACCCACTGAACAAGGTAATCCGGACCCAAAATTTGAATACCGGACTAGAAAGAAAAGTCCCGTGATAACCCGATTTATTTTCCCCGCAATAACTTCAAGGGATGCGGAGGTTCCGCATTTGGGGCCCCGGGGAGCGTCGCAGACACCGTTCCTAGCTCGCCGAGCATAGCCACCGTCGTTTTGCGGAGTGCTGGGAGATTTATTAAAAATCAAGGCTGGTCGAGGCCGGGGCTAGTGTGTCTTTCCGGGGAGGGATTGCGGGTGCTCGCCGCTCATAGGGCACGGAGAAATTATCAGGATAAATTGTCAGTGGTGTGATGTAATGCCGCTTGGCTGCCAAGTTGTTTTGAGCTCGTATTTGATTCTTTCGCTTTGCTCCTCGGCCGTTGGCTAGAGCGGATCCTTAGTGCTTCATGCGCATAAGGCTCGAGCGGAAATTACTGGGCTGGACGTTAATGTTTACGTGTAAAAGAGACTGGGTGGGAACGTGTCATGACGTCTATGCCACATGTAGAGGCAAACAGTAAACAGGGCCGTAATAAATGAATTGTACTGGAAGCATATGTATATGCCTTCGTATATATGAAAAGTGCTTGTCCAAACACACAGTATTGTAGGTCAGTGACCAGGTGGCATCGTCCATTAACCCCGTCTCTTAAATATTCACCAGACATAAAACGGTCGGTCGTGACCGAGTCTCGAGCCTAATACAGGTGAGTTGCTTGTTAGGGAACGCCATGGAACAGCTCGGAATCTTCATGCGTAACGCCTGAGAATAGCACTTCCCTATAAGTCGGCAATATCCTGGATGGAGCGAGGACAGCTATTTGGCCTTCCTATCAGTCAAAGCCAAGCCATATCAGCTACGTGTCAGCAATTGGCGAGAGAAGGGTATTTTGAAGAGAAGTTACATGTTGTGAGCAAAGGAAAGGATGAACTACGGCTGCGGATACGGATTTCACTTCACTGTGGACACGGGTGCATGGATGAAGCGACAAGAAGCGAAGCAATGCCATAATCACCTATCAGGCAGGAAAGTAAGAAGTTGACAACGTGGGGCTGGACGACACATGTCTGACTGCTCAGGAAGATGGTGGATTTACAGACAAGGCACTCTAGGAAGATCTCTTCGCGCGCATGTAATATATAACCCGCCCACTTACCTACCCTCACGACGGTCGATTCCTCGGCACTCGGCGTCTTTCAGCTCGATCAGGTAGATCAATCTTGGCAACTGTCAGGTGAGGCCTTTCCGTCACGCATAACCAAGCCGACTGCACTTGGACCAATAAGATTGCTGTCTTTTGAGATACTAGGACATGTGATTTGTCCCCCGATCTCTTTCACAGAGTAGAACTCGAAATAATGATAATTATTTCACTGACTAGTTACGAGTTAAATTGTATATAAATACAAATATGAGAAAAAAATATTCAGCCACTGACAACAACGCCTCGCTTAGCGCTATACATAACCAAGTTAAGGGTTCTCTTCGTAGCCGTCAAGGCCTTCCATTGTCGTCTTGATTGGCTAGAAAGGAAAGCTCGCACTAGTTTATCTTGGCTTCGACTCATAATGGAAACCATATCGAACTCTTGCTTGCTGAGCTATATGTACCTCACGAGCCTGCCAAAGTGCAGTAACGAGCATGTAATTCCGGCTGAATCATGTCCCAGGATTGAGCCAGGGATCGCTTAACAGTTCCGATGCTGTTGCGCGTTCCTCGGGTACCCAGCATATCATCTTCTTAATAAATTTAAGAAATAATTCAACTCGTTGTTCTTCAAAAATGCACTCTGGGATCTCGCTTTCGAAACTCAGCGCTTGAGATACCAAGTCGTTACGTATAAATGTACCTAGAGAGAATATCAGACAGCACCTAAAGCCGATTTCACCTAAACTCACCTTCTTCAGTGAAGAACGGGCCACCAAAATACTCAGCTGCATTGCTGCTGAGTCGGCCATTCGGGTTCATCGCGGCAGGGGACCACCTCCAATGTCGCATGCGTCTTTCCCGCTCGACTAGAGAAGGGGGGATATCGCCCATAAGAGCTATCATGTCTGCAACATGCTGAGTAGGAGAGTACTGCCGCGTCTTTTGGCTAAAGAGGGAACGCCCAGCTAAGAGATCCCATATCTGTAAGAATTAGAGAGAAGTGCCGAAAATTAGTAGACATGATAACAAGGACCAACCATGACACCGAAATTCCAGATATCTGCACTATAACTCCAGCCGACGCCAAGTAATACTTCTGGAGCGCGGTATTCGTCGGGCTGTATCGGATGAATGAGAGGTTCAGTTTTATCACCGTGTTGCGAAAGGCCGAAGTCAGTAATATGTGGTATTAAGTTCCGGGCAGCTTTTAAAACCGGTCCAAAATCATTGTGGCAGCGGTAAATAGTATGGTCACCAACATGTTTACGTGCCATGGGGTGTGCGGCCTGGCCTTGGATGAAATTGTCGATGGTTGATTGGTCCTCTATTGCAATCATGATGTTGTCGAGCTTTAGGTCTAACAGGGTTAGCAAGATATTGACGTTTCTGCAGCAGCGGGTTACAGACCAGTGTGTATCACATGGGCTTGTGTATGCATGTAGTCCAATCCTTCGAGTAGAATTCGAATATAGGTCTTGAAAAGGGGTAGTATCTCAATTGTAGTTTTTTGTTGCTGGGTAATGCGCTTTCTGAATAACCACAAGGGCTCTCGTAAGGGTTCGAATACAAGTGCAAGATGCACGTCTCCCCGTGGCGATTCGATCTTAGCGCCTTCAATAGCTGTGCCGAGGACACCGCGCCCTCGATGCTTACTGTCCATTACGGCCAAATGAACATTCATATCCAGCTCGTGCGTCATATCCTCGTCCGTGGCATCGCAATTACAAATCTTCAGGGCAACATACCGCTTCCGTCTCAGACACCTATATCGTAAAGGATATAAGCAAGGAAAATTTGAGAAATGAAATAAAGCGACAAATATTAACAACAAATACCTAGTATCGCGTGCCAACCATACTGTAGATGTTGATCCCCAGCCAATCTTTGCATTTAGTTGATATTTATTAAGGAGAATATCACCAGGGTTTGCCGGATAAAAATGCTTAAAATTGTAGCCAGGTATTTTCTCCTCGTCAATAGGAGTTCCAGGGGGTAATATCTCGGGCGATGGGATAGCTTGAGAGACGAAAGATCGACCCCAGCGCATTCTAAAATACTCCGAACGAATGTTGTTGCCGGTAGCGAGGTGATGAGACGGAGAAGCAAGAGAATGCCTACCGCGCGAGCGGCATGGATGTGTTAGCAGCCAAAGCCTTTTCATAACTTGTAGCGCAGATTCCGAGGGGAAACACAGTTGGTATGGAAGCCGTAACATTCATGTCGTCGCGACGTTGACCTGGCTGCCTTGGGCACGGTTCGGAATTTCAACCAATAGAAATGTCCGAATCCCGAGGTGCAAGGGGCTCGGCATGGATTAATTAGTCTCCGACGCAGGGCTAAGCAGCCGAGTCACATTAGGCGCCCTGATGGTTTATTAAAATTAGGCACCAGCACACTACAATGGAATTTTCTGGCTAATGATAGTGATTGTGAATCGATGTTCTTCCATATGGGCGCTTCCCGCAACAAAGAGTTGCGCGTAAGCTTGGACTCGATTATTCCCCAGCCGTTAATTGGCCGTAGACACGTACCTCATGGTGTTAAACACTAGCCCCAATCTTCTGTACAAGATGTCGAAGCATTTGTCCATTGTGACTCCTATTAGTTGGAGTGCCTCTGCACCAGCCGTGTTACTTTAGTCTCGGGTTAACTCACATGTGCAAATCTATCCTTGCCATTGTTTTGAAAAGGTGTGTTACATCTCGCGATAGTGTCCAATGCTTGTTAACTAGGACAAGTGCCATAAATGTCGAAGCAACTGTCTCTCAAGTCTAGCTCCACTGCAAAGATTCTAAAAGATGTGGTTTGGGTCGTCAGGTCCAAGAGAGACGTCTCCGCGTTCAAAGCGCTTGTTGAAACGAACATTGATGATACTCCTATTTTGTTGAAGAAGGTGTACTAGGCTACAGTTGAGTATGGAAAGCCTGACACCAATTTCTGTCATAAGCTAATCTTTAAATCTAGCGGGGATCCCCAGGAAACTAAGAAAGGGACGGGACTGTCGACCCTCTCCATGTCTCCGGGCGGCTTCTCACCAAGAGTGACCGAAGGCTTACTTCTTATCACGCCTACGGAGATGGAAGAGTAGTGTTCTCTCAGGATAAATATGATACTAAAAGTTCCAAATCTGAGGGACCCGCTGCGTCCAGCTTTCAAACTGGTCTGACACGGCAGATGGGCCAGGACAATACTTGTGCAATGTGGTGGGATGGAGCTGAGTGGCCATTTGGTCAATGGTCCGAGGAGCATGAGTTGAGGGTTGCGTATCACGAAGGCCAGTGGTACGCATGGCAGTAAAAATAGGGTATATTCGTCTCGGGGGAGAGCGAAGCTAAAGTAGTCTGGCACAATATAAACACACCGGGCAAATACTTGATTTGTGTTCAGTTCGGAAGAATACATTGAAACAGCTCGGGTTCGCTCCAGGAATAATTAAGCCGTATGTAACACGCCTTCATTATTACTGAATAATTAATCCCAGCTTGCTCTTCCTCCTAGAAGATGCTTATCTATTCTAGTGGCCATTTTATTTACGACATTTATTTATTCTCCGTAAACTTCATCCCGATTGCCCACTTGCATTCGAATAAGCGACGCTTGTCAAAGTGGTCATCGGGTCTGACCGCTAGGCCATGGAAGCAAAACGATCCGCCAACAGCGGCCCTCAGCCGAATATTCCGGTACCCAGCTTATAAGCATGCAAATCTTGGCTTCAGTGGCCCTTGACAGGTTGATATTGACAGTTGACCCGTCAAATCTGTCTGGTCGTGAACTGTGACAAGGGTTCAAGGAGGGCTTAGAGTCAATAACTCAATTCATCTAATAATAGTCTTTGGTATCAAAGGTCCATGGTTTTCCTCAGGCCAAGTTAACCAAAGAGCTCTATAAATACAAGAAGTCGGTGAGGGCCTTCTGCCCTAGGTCTCTTGATCGTAGCCCTCGTGTAACTGTGTGAAATGAACAGCGTGAAAAGTAAATGAAAAAAAGCAAATATTACAAGTAAAATAATAGTATAATTAATTGGTAGCTTCTTCTTCTGCTTGCTACATTTGCCTTCTTCTAGGTAGCTTCTTCTCGTGTTATTAGTTGACCTAAATAAGGTGGTGACATTACGGGTAGCATGTCACACGGATTAGGTCAAGCAAGGATCAGAAGCCCTTTATTACACAAGAAGATCACGAGAACTATGGGGCGCACTAGGCACGGGCCGTTCCTTTCATGTATGTAAGATGGTCTCCCCTCGCCTCATGGCTTGGGAAAACCAAGGACCTTTAACATCATAGGAGATTATCATTGAATTGAGCCTTTTGCTTCAAGCCCTCTACTGAGCTCTTGTAACATAGCATGCGTTGATAGTCGGGCTGAGTGACTGTGCCCGCGTAATATATTTATAAAAGAAATAGTCTAGGGGCTAAAAATGGTTATTAATTCAGATATATTTCTGCTTAATCGTTTACTCTTCACGGTTATACCAATTAGCTAGTGTAAAGCGTCTCTTTCACATCTAGTGGAAGAATTCCACTACGCTAACGTGCTTCCTAGGGGGGTTTTGCATGTGCTTATGCTTAGGCAAACTTGTTTGTTTCAGAACACACCGCAGGCGCCACAGCTTTGCCGAATATGGATTAAGATAAAAGTAGAATTTTGTATTGAGATACTCGTGGCACGGTCCCTCTTTTCATTGCATGCGAGCATCTCTAATCTACCGGGTGTAATAAATTTGGGAGTAGGTACTTTACCGCAAACGGTAGTTGTAAAAACTAGCTTTAAGCACTGAAATTTCAGGTGCTGAATGATGCTAGTGCTGAATAATACTAGTAGCGATATATTGATCTTCAACACATGCTAAATCAATGAATACTTGTATTAAGTTATGCGAGAGAAGCCGGATTATCCGTGCTTATTAATTATATAGTGCTCTCCCTGTTAGACTTTTGGGTATAACTTATATCTAGTACGATTTACCTGGTATTGATTTATTTTGTAACTATATAATCAACATGATGAATCGAAGTATGCTGTTGTTAACAATTCTCAGCCTCACAGTAGGACTGTCGGTGGCGAGATGCCAAAACATCACTATACCCATTTCAATATCATCTCGCAACGGTATTTTTAGTCTTCCCGCTCCCGTCAACGACGTAGACGTCACCGACGTTGTGTTGAACAACTGTCGAGCCGGTGCTAACTACACAGATGATGTGCTACAAGGTGTAAGTAAACGAAACAGTTATTATCTATTTTATATATTTACTAATACAGGCCATAATAGTACAAAACTATCAAAGGCAACTATAATCTTGCAGCAACCTACTGTACTCCAGAATCTGGACATGGCACATCGCTTCAAGTGCTGACCGGTGTTAGTCGTTATTACTGGGACTTCTCGCACAACCTCGCTACACCTATGTTGATCTTGCCCTTGCCTAGGGACATTCCACTCTTATATATGACCGCCTTGGTGTCGGCGAATCGTAGCACGGTGACGCCATTGAGGAGCTCCAGGCCTCGCTTGGGGTCTCGGCTCTGCATCAGTTAACCGAAATGCTTCGCCAGTCCAAGGTGCCTGGGATAAAGGCTACATTCGATAAAATCTTCCATGTTGGCCACATCTTCGGATCAATACTAACTTATGGTCTAGTAACGAAGTACCCCGAGGATTCGGATGGGATTGTCCTCACAGGGTTTAGCATCGATGAGACCTTCTAAACGTGGTTCGGCTATGCTTCTAATTGGGTGCTGGCAAGAAAAAAAAAATCCAGCTTTTAAAAGGTTTCCTAATGGCTACGTCGCTCTAGGGACTGCTCAAACATTTCAGGCAGTGGCATTTGCGCTATCCAACTCTGATTTCGCCCTTCCGGCTGCAGCAAACTTGATTACGCAGCCTATTCCTATGGGTGAAATTCTTACTATAGGTGTCCCACGATCAGTCCCGAATCTCTTTAAGGCCCAGCTCTTGTTATAGATGGGGGTGAGGTGACTTTGGCATGCTATCAGGGTTGTTACGAACGTGCTTGTTAGATCGAGACCTGCTGTTTTGTGGAGGTAATTGCTCGTCGTCTATGCCATCGACTGCAGAGCCAGTCCGGCCAAACTTTACCAACGTAACCGACTTTGAGGCTGTGATTGTTCCTCAGACAGGGCATCTTCTAAACTTTGTACGTTAATTACTAGGCTTTCTGTGGGGTAAAAGCTAACCCTGAATCAGGAATATAGCCACCCTAATACAAATAGTGCTATTATAGACTTTCTTAACAGACATGTCTAAGAAAGCCCTGCCCGTTGGAGCCTAATAGTTCGACAGTTGCCGTGTTTGGCAACGAGACAACGCGACCCAATTGTGTTTAGAGGACACTGCGGGATCACACTTGGACGCCACGGAAACAAGCTGTATCGTCCACTTAGAGACCTAACTTGTCGGGAACACGACTGAGTCGATGGGAAGACATGTGTGGCCGGGGGGTTTTTAAGAGCATTTTGTGTAGTTGGGAGTAAGTCATGCTGGGGGGAACGCAAGAAAAGCAGTTCAGCATATCTTGTCGCGCAATTCGCTATTTCTATATAGATAATTGGGTAGAGGATGTCTCGTTTCGAGTGAAAAAGAAAAATGTGTATAAATTATACAGTTGCTGTTGCCCTTATACAGTGTCAAGACCACCCGTTGGTCCCAGACTGCCCAAATCAGGCCGAGAAAGCATGTTACCAAGGCATTCCTCTCTCGAATGCGTTATCACCTAGTTGAATTGTTTGAAAAGTGACTAGGCTAATGTTATTGGGCTCAGCTGCGAACTGTCATTCAGCTCTTTATCACACTGAGGCGCCATAGGCAAATTGGATCACACTCCCCAATTCTTTGGGAGGAATGGAGGAATTGTAAGGTTGAAAATTAATAGGGTGCGCACATCTTGGAATTTAAGCTCCTCGTACTGAATTAGCGGTGCTGAGAAAAGGTATTGAAACTAGCAAAAGATGCCTAAACAAAGCGTGCGGGCCATTGCCAAAGTCTATGGTGTTAGCCGTAGATCGCTCGGCCTCCACTTACATGGAACCGCTGCTCGGCGCAATACCATGGTTGACTTGCGAAAACTAAACAGATGTAAAAGAATTAATCATTATTCAGTATTTCCTTGGCGTAGACTCGCAATCCTTTCTTCCCAACCTTGCGGTGAGGAAGCTGCGGCCAGTCATTGCTTGCGGATCGCGGCCGCTTCCCGTTGGACCTGTGACGCTGCTAGGCTCACTGTCAACTAGGCATTTTTTTTCCTTTTACGAATACGTTGATGTTGTTCTTGTTCACCCCTACTCAGATTGGTGAGTGCCATAGTCGCGGTCAAAATCAAGAACATACCACTCAATAATACGCACCACTATATCGGCGTTTCGCATCAGAACCAGGCCCAGAAGGGCAAATCATGCAATGTTCAAGTTGAATTGCCTCTAGCCACGCCGTACTACATACCACTTTCACCGTCCTATAGCTGAATACAGATTAGTGCCCCTGGGCAAGTCGATTCAGCCGGTGATGAACACTAAATTCCCGAGTAAGTGTAAGCTACATGGAGAAACGAGCAACCAATCCTTCTGTATTACTCTATCCAACGCAATACCTATCCAACATACAACAGTTGCAACATCACCGCCCAAGAAGGGCCTTCATTGTAGAGCCCATGACGCCAGGATGAGGCACAACAACCGCACCCGCATCCTCCAAAGCCCTCGCCTTCTCGGCAGCCGTGACATCCCTCGCCGTCAAAACAGCACCCGCATGGCCCATGACCTTGCCCCTCGGCGCCGTCTGTCCCGCCACCATGGCCACAATCGGCTTGGGGTTCGGCGTCGACCTCCTATACGCCCTGATCATCTCGGCCGCGCGGAGCTCTTGCTCGCCGCCAATCTCGCCAATGACGATAATGCCCTCTGTTTCCTCATGGTCAAAGAAGACCCTGAGAGAATCGACGATGGTCGTGCCTGGACCAAGTCAGCCGGGCTTTTTGTAAACAAAAGTAAACGACTGAGGAGCATACCTGGCATGGGATCGCCGCCTACGGCAATGACAAAACTCTGTCCCAGGCCGGCCGCGCTCGTCGCGCCAACAGCCTCGTAGCTCAGGGTGCCGGACTTGGACACGATGCCCACGCAGCCCCGAGTGTACTGCCGAAAGGGCATGATTCCCACGCGGCACTGGTCCGGGGCGATGATGCCGGGGCAGTTGGGCCCTACGAGGCGCGACCTGCTCTGCGTGCGAAGCACCTCCTGCACGCGGAGGAGGTCGTGAACGGGGATGTGCTCGGCGACGGAGACGACGACGGGCACCTCGGCCTCGATTGCTTCGATGATGGCCTTGGCCGCGAACTGGGCGGGCACAAAGACTGCGCTAACATGGGGTTTGACCTGCTCCACGGCCTGTATTCTGGTCAATGCTTTTCTGTCGAGTGAGTTGATGTCCTGGCGGAGAAGTCACCTCTTTGACGGTTCCAAAGACTGGGAGGTCGAGGTGCGTCCTGCCGCCTTTGCCGGGCGAGACGCCGCCGACGACTTTTGTGCCGTAGCCAATTGTGTCTTTGGCGTTGGAAGTGGCCTGCTGCCGGTCAGTATCTCCCGTATATGTACATATACATGGTAGTCCACCCCGTCGGTCTACATGCCGCTTGCCCCGTGAAGCCTATGACGAATTAGCTTCATGCCCCTATTAACTTCCTTGAGACTCGCCTTGGTAAATGATGCGCGTGTTGGCATTGATGTGGCGCAGACCGTCTATCGTGCTTTCATAATCTGCAAATCGTCTACGAGATGTGGAAAATGTTCTGGTCATGGCGTGGTGTTTGCCGAGCCGCAACGAGCTCCGTGACAACATGGTGCCGGTACCTGTCCTGGCGCACCCTTGTGAGTGCCGACTCTCCGAGTCTTGAGGGCAACAACAGACGATATGAATTGGGAGCTGCGCGTATTGCCAAGCTACGCGTGCTACTGCCATGCCGGACACACTTGTACTTGGCCTCCAATTCCACCTGGACCTGAAGTCATCGGCCGGCTATACGGCCTCGGCAATAAACAGCCCCGCCGTCGTCGGCCGGCTACTTGGCTGCTGCTACCATTCAAGGTTGCGCTCGCACCAAACCAGATCCAAGCGGCTCACAACCCCGGTGTGTCTTTTCCTGTCAAGCAACGAGTCACCAGTTCAGCGAGGTGCCTGATGCTGCAAGTCACAATGGCCCATTTGGTCCAACATGTTTAAGCTGCCCGGTGTTGTATCCGCCACCCTCAATGGCAGCTTGGAAGTTGGCACAGTCCACTCACACCAGGCCCAACTCTGACGACGTGATAAGTCGTGCTTGTACAAACAACTCCAAGCACCGGGTGTATCTGGTATTTAGATGTAAAAATCGACCTCGGTCTACTCTAGACTCTAAAAGAAGCGCCAGATCGAATCCGGCCCCTTGGTGCTCTTGAACCGACTATACGCCCTGCAAAGCGGCCACAACACCACCATCATGACGGCATAAAACCCAAAATACACAAGCAGATTATCAATCCCCTTCGTCTTCTCAGGATCCATCGGGTCCGCGACGCCCGTCTCGCGCCCAAACGCCGCCACGACCAGCATCCCCGCGCCGAACAAAACCGCCATGTGCACAATGTAAAAGAACAGCGCGCTCGTTCCGAAATCCAGCAGCATGGTGAGGCGCCTCGCCACCCGCGGCGGAACAGCAGTGAACAGCGCGAGGAGAAGCAGATTCCCCGCCATGGTGAGCGCGAAAAAGGCCACGTCGGGCGGGTACTTGACGACGTAGAAGAAGGACGCAGCCGAGGCCAGGTACTGGTTCTGGCCGGGACGGCGCTGCTGGTCGGGCGTCTGGAGGCACCGCTCGGACAGGTTGCCAAGATGGAGCACGCGCGTGAGCACGAACAGGGCGGACGAGCAGACGGCCGCGAGGACGTGGCCGAGGACAAGGGCCCGGCGAGACCACGGGCGTGCCGTCGTGACGCGCGCGTACAGGATGCCGAGCAGCGCAAACGAGAGCCATGCCAGCGGCGGAAAGGCCGACACGACGCGCGATTCCACGTCCATCATGACCCAGAACCAGACGCGGAGCAGCGGATTCGAGGGGCTTGAGCGCGTCGAAACGTCCTCGTCGAAGGGGGGGCAGACGCCGCCGCCGTCGCTGAGCCAGATGTTCCAGAAGACGGTGACCAGGCTCAACACCAGCAACAGGACGTTGTGAATGCTCCATGATAGATACGCGCAGCTCTCCGCAGTCGCCCGAGCATCGTCCGGTGCTCGAAGCAGCGGCCGCCTAAAACCCTCGCCGTCATCCGCCGCCGACTCGTCGTGATCCCTCCGGCCCCTTCTCATCTGTGTCATCGCCAGCGTCAGCCAACCCTCGGTCCTGTTCATGGCCAGCCACAGCAGCCCGGCGAGCAAGTAGTCCACCGCCAGCGAGAACAGCACCGCGTTCAGGAACCACACCCGGCCGCCCGTCATGACGAGCCCGAAGACGGCCGTCACGAGGGTCAGAACCGCACACCGCACCGCAAAGTAGCGCGCCAGCCGCGGCGCCGACCAGCCCAGCCCCGCGCGCGACCTGCCCAGATACACGACGCCCATGCCGAGCAGGAACGTGAATCCCGCGCCGCACAGATGCGCCAGGGTGCGCACCGCGTACGCCGCCGTCGAGTTCCACCGCTGCACGACTTGCCCGTCTGCCTCGGCGACACGACCCGTCCCGTGCTCCCACGTGTGCAGGGCGAGCGCCGCGTGGTCCAGGGACATGACCATCATGAGCAGCCCGCGCAACAAGTCCGGTGCCAGGACGCGGGCTCCGGCCGGTTTCACCGGCGGCCCGGAGGACCCGGAGGACCCGGACCTCGTCGGTGGTCTTGCGTTGAACGCTCGCGGTGAAGCTCTATTGTATCCCGGGAACGACTTGTATCCGCAGCCATTCTCGCTGCCGCCTCTCTTCGGGGTTACATTGTAAGTGGTGCTGGGCGATCGATCCGGCGGCTCCCGAGAACCGTCTTGGCCCGCCATGGGTGCTGCTGCTGCACCGCTGAAGTCTATTACACGTTCGACGGGGATCGGGGTTCTAGGCGTGAGCAGTTGTAAAAGCCATCCAAGACGGGGTCGTATATAGACGTAGAGACGCTTTGCGATGCTTTGCGGGCAAATGACGAGCGTTTCAATCATCGTTTCTACATGCGTACGTCTGCCGCTTTTAAGGTGTCCACGCCCGCGGATCGAATGCAATTACCAGGCGGGAATTCAGCCTCAACTCCGCAAGGTACGGCGTTGATAACCAACCAAAGACGACATGGAACCACTTGACGACGCCTCTGCCAGGGTCCGACTGCCCGCTAACGTTGGGGGGGCCTAGCTGTCGGGTCGCCGGCAAGTAAAATGTTTGGTGGCTTCATGCTTGGTAATCTGTTCAAGTGAAGAAAGGGCCCGAAGTCTCCGGCGGGCTTTGATGCCCCGTCTATGAGTGGTGGTGATGCAAGGGGGGGTTTGCCTAGTCTGGGCTCAACGCCTTCCATGTCTATTACCGTGGCAAGCTGACGTGTGCCGTCGCAGACGTCGATTCACATGTAGCGTGAGACATTCTTCTGTTTCTCCGACGAAAGCGCATCCAGTTATGAACCAGCACACCCTGTTGAACCCTTTGTCCATCACTCGTGTCTTCCCTCTTGTAAATTATGATGCAGCATGCACCCTGTCCCTCCACGACTTTTTAACCTTGTCCAACAACTCCTTGGAGCTCAAAACGTCCACCGCCACACCGGCCAACCCCTTTCCAACCCTCACAGCATTCTCATAGGCATCCCTTGTTCTCGCCGCCTCCGCAAACTCGGGATTGTGCGGCCCTTGCCCTCCCGGACCGGGTCTTATGAAAAACGCAGGACTCAAACTGGGCATCGCGTAGCTCACGTCGCCCTGATCTGTACTCGCCAACGTTGTGCCCCTGGCTTCATCCAATTCTGCGTTTTCTAGAATTTCATGCTCCGGACACAACGCATTGAAATACCGCGTGAATGACTGCGCTAGCTCCTCGTTCGGGACGTGGTCCTTGTACGCACTGCCCCTTGTGAGAACCATTCTAGCACCGGTTGCCCTGGCCCCAGCTTCGAAACAAGCATACATTTTCCCCCCGAGTTCCTCAAGACGGGCTTGTGAACTGGCCCTCACGGCGAAATGCCCACAAGCGTACGCGGGGATGATGTTGACTGCCACACCGCCGTGGGTAATGTACCCTTGGATAATGTCCCCGGGCATGTTTTGCTGACGGAGCATCGAGACGTTGTTGTATGCGGATACGAGAGCATCCAGGGCGTTGATGCCAAGCCACGGATTTGCAGCGGCATGTGCTTCGCGGCCGTAGTATTCCACCTTGAATTGCTCAATGGCCGTTGTGCGCATGCGCGCGGCGTCAGGGACGATGCCAGGGTGCGATATGAGACTGATGTCGACTCCATGGTCCGAGTATGCGCCTGCTTCCAGGAGACGGATCTTGCCGCCGCCGCCTACATGAAATATGTGAGGGATGTCCGGCATTATTCACCGAGGGGGCTTCGTACCTTCTTCCGCTGGGGTTCCAAAGAGGACAATCTTGCCTGGTATTCCCTCGTCCTTGATGACTTGCGCCGCTGCAATTGCGCCGATGACCGACGCCGTGGCAATCAGATTGTGTCCGCACGCGTGCCCGATTCCAGGCAGGGAGTCTGAATCGCGGGATCAGCAAGCATACGACCAGGATGGCGAGATGAACGTGCCCATTTCTGCGTTGAATGACACAACAGCGCCCTTGGTGCCGCTGTCAAAGACCGCGACCCATGCTGTTTTCAGCCCGTATGCCGAAGGCGTCACCTTCCACCCTGGCTGCCGCCTCATAAACGACGTCAGAGCTTCATGGGCGATGAATTCCTTGTATCCCAGCTCGGGGTTATCGTGAATTTTGATGTTGATGGGCCAAAATTCTTTGCCGACTTGAGCCGCGGCTTCACTGATAGCCTGCAGGAACCGCGGTTCCGTCGCCGGACAGACGCACTGGTCTGCGTCGGTAGAGATGACGACGAACCCGTCAACTTCGTGCTCGAAAAAACTGGCCATATTGCTCACCCAGGCTGGTTTTAGACAACTGGACTATTCTGTATTTTGTGTGAGATTCTCCATGGGCCCCGAGGAGAAAAGTAGTTGGTATCAATGTCTCACCTGCCGGCGCCATCCTCCGACGGATAAATCTCCGCCCGGGTTCTTTAACCGAACTGAAGGCCATCATACAGTGGAGCCTTCAACATGCGGCGCGGGGTTCCAACGCTTCCAATATCTAGTCGATTATTCTCCCCCCTTTGAAGTAATGAAATTCAGGGTGTAAGGGGGGAGAACGTAAGGATACCAGCAGTCCGATGCCGACGAGGGATCTTGTCCCCGCATCTCAATCGAGTTGTACGTAAGGACAGTTATTTTTCGGGGCGGGTTGCGCAAATTCAACGTAGAGACGGCTTCGTAGAAATGATCCCTCCTCCTTACTTGACTGACGCAGTGTTCCCTTGGCTCAACAGCTTTGAGTGTACGCTCCATATCAGTCGTTGACTTGCATCGCCAGTCGGACAAATGAAGTCGCGATTTATACTCACTTTGACAGACGCTGACCGAGTCGATGGCCCCAGCCACAATCGACAAGAACTAGAGCGAATCGCATCACATTAAGGATGAAGCTGATGTTTGACTGTCATTTCCGATTCAGCTGGCAATGTTGATGCCGCTACTAGTGAAAGATCTTATGAATGATTGGCCTTGCTATCCCTCCTTTTCTTTGTGTCATGTGATCTACAGTTTATTAACACCACTTCACTGACAGACATACTTGTCGGTCTGCGGGATAATTAAGGATAACAACCTGCAGGGATCTGTACTTGGTTTTTCTTCTATTTCGGTTGCTTGTTGGCTGGTGTTGTGACTCGACAAAATTTCTCCGTGGTCAAGTTCCTCGGCATCAACATCACACGGCCGCGTGGTCCAGCTGTAAAGGGCTCGCGGCTGTGTGCGTTCATACTTTGCGGCTGACTGAGGTGCGAGAGAACAAGAGACCAGACGACCATGTCGTCGGGTTCTTTTCGAAACAAGCTTTTCACAGGCCCTGTTCCGGTACTGTCCGCAGGGCGGTTGGCAACCCTTGATTCTTTGAATCTTGGTGAGTGACAGAGGAGAAACAATTTCCCCGAACGCCTTGGCACATGTATCAGTACCCCGGTACGGAGTAGACAAGGTCGGTCCTACTGAGTGCCAGTGAGTGGCTGTTAGGCAACAATCTTCCTGTTGGTCCCAGCACTCGGCATTGCCCCATGGCGTCATGCACAGATTGACAGGCCAGCTGCAGTTAGGGCTGCAGCACGATGCAGCCAATGTCGGCGTCTGTCGCACGGTGCCGCAGGCGTCTCCGTGTGCATACGGAGTACATCGACACCTAAACTCAGCAGTTGAGCGCCATTATTGTGCAACTGATAATCGATTTCGAGAAGCCGTCGGTCGTGAATCACGGCACGTGTTGAACTCAATTGGCGAAACCTCGTCTCCCAGTCACACCAGACGTCATGCAGTCAAATCGGTGTGGTGCATGTCTGGTGGGCGACGACGGCCAAATGCAAGGAGCGGGCCACGGCAAGGGCTGGGTCAACGCCCGTTGGCGCCTTGTCGCGGGCGTTGACCCCTCAAGCTTGCTTCAATGTTGCCTAGCCCAGGTCCATTGAGCCCCCAGCCAGTTGCCCCACCGGGCAGCGGCAGATACAATGGTTCGGCACCCTCAGCCGCCGCTCTTCATCAACCCTCTGATCGATTGCATCGAGATTGTTGTCGTTGAATGACGGTGTCTGCTCCGTGCGCCAGCCAGGGCGCCGACGGCCATTGATTCAAACCCGATCTCGACGTCAGTCGCGTCACCACCGGCTTTGGGGTTATCAGACCACAAGCCAAGGGATTCGCATCCACAGCCTCCCATGGGCCGGCCTCTTCATCATGGTTCAAAAAGCGACCACGCCTCCCGAGAGCTCGTCCAGCGAGTGTCACGGATCATCACCCGAGACAAAAATCGCCGTCAAAGCTGCTGCGCCGCCCCGGCAGCCCTCGAGTCGTCGCGGCCATTTCAAGTCGCGATTGGGGTGTTTCAGTTGCAAGCGGAGGAGAGTCAAATGCAACGAGCTTCGTCCAGAATGTTCGCCATGTCGTCGACTGGGCTTGATATGCGAATATCCCACTCCTGAATCGTCATCTACACCGCGGACAGCAGTCCGACCTAATCCTTCGGCTCTGAATCTTGAAGACCTGCGCTTCTACCACCAATTCCTTACTGCCGGCTTTCCAACACTGCCGCTAAGGGGAGGAGAGGTCTGGGCGGAATGCGCTGCCATGTCATACAGCGTAAGTGGTGGCCAACCGTGAAATGTTGGCTCCCTTTTGTTGGTGAATAGCATTCTCATTCTTCTCTGTTAGTCCGAATGCCTCGCACATGCCATCCTCGGTCTCGGAGCATCGCATCTGTCAAGGAACTGCAACGTCAACTACGAAGCGCAAGCCTTGCAGCATCGCGTCGCGGCCATCAAATTGGTCAATGAACAACTCGACAAGCCGCCTCAAAAGCCAATTGATGCCGATATCCTGTTCGCCACTATCATTTGCCTCCTCGCCCAGTCCTCCTTGATGTCAGACAACATGGTCGACTACTTGACCATGACGAGGGGAGGCAACCTCGTTGCCACCACCATCATTCCTGACTTTAACGCGTCCATTTTCAAGAAATTCAGTCCCGAGGGTCACATCATCTCGTTAAGCGACATGGTGGAAGAGCAGCCAAAAGACTTGGCATTGATTGAAGCTTTCAGGGCTTCTGTTTTAGGCATGGAGCCTATTTGCCAAACAAAGAACGAAATAAAATACCTCGAGGCTTTGATCGACTGTATCGATGCGCTGAAAATCTCGTCACACTCTGGTAAAGAATTTCTCCACCTCAATCGAGTCTCACTGGGGATGCTAATGCATGCTTAGCTTGGTTGCATTTTGTGCCTCTCTTCATGATGCCATCGACATTCAACAACCAAGAGTTTCTCGCCTTTGTTAATGCAGAAAACTATACCGGGCAATTGCTGGTCATCCACATGTTTCTGCTTGACTATGTGCTCGGTCGATTTTGTCTTTCA